ATATTATCATGTGATAGGACAAAAATGACTCCCTAGACTATTTTGACACTTTTCTCTTTTAAAAATGGTCATATAAATGATGAAATTTGAACATTAATCTACTTGTAATTGTGATTTTTTTAATTGTTAGGCAAATAGCTCACTTGGAACTCAATGATAATTGATGCTTGGTAAGTAATGGGTGATTTGTTTTATGCTCTTGGGTTAATTTTATTATGTTATATGCACTTTAGAATTCTTTTTATTATTATGTTTTGGTATTAGTGCAGGATAATGACCTCAGACCATTCTAAGCAGTCCGGAAGTGTCCGACCTCAAATGCAATGTCACGTGTGCCATGCTGTATAATACACCCTCTGTTAAGCGCTGGAGCCCGATTACTATCCCGCTTCTGCCTGTCGCGCCCGATCGCGAATCATCGCGATTGCTTCTGCTCCACTGTCGTGATTCCTGATCCTAACGCTCTCTGGTATCGATTCGCGAAGAGTCACGTCTCTGTGCTGTCGTGAACCGTTCCCGCCTTCCGTCTCCTTTAAGTTGCGAACAGAAAAGAAGAAAGTTTTATAGTCACGTTTTTGAGTTCTTCTTCAGGTTTTCACGGGACAAAGAAAGATAAGTGCAAGAAGTAGTTCCCTGCGATGAAGGAAGAAGAAAAAAGAAGAAAAATATTGTTCTCCCTTGGCTTATTCTTGGTGGCTCGTAGCTGAAGAGAAATTGAGTTTATTTTTCTCTTGTAAGTTTAGCTTCTTCTGTGTATCTCCGTGTAAGGTTTCTTCGGTGTATCTAGGTGTAGAGAGAGAAGAAGAGAGAGCAACGAAGTGAGAGATTCCTCTTGTAAGTTGAGGTGACCGATTGGTGTAAATTCTTCAAGTAGTAAAATCCTCTGCAACTCTGTGGACGTAGACAGTTTGTCGAACCACGTAAATTTGTGTGTTCTTTTCTAGTGTGATTTTTCTCGTTCTATTTTTTTATCTCCGTTAATCGTTCTCCTGTTTGATTTATATATATACCACATCAACTGGTATATCTTAGTTCTCAACACCCTCACCTACTTCTCTGTGGTTTACCTCCACATCTCAAAATCAATCTACTCAATGGTGGACTGATTACCACCACTCCAAGTTGTTATCATGCTTTAACTTTGTCTCTAACTCTGCGTGTCTTGAATGTGCTCATGCTCCTTCTGTATAATTAAAACCAATTATTAATTGATATTTTACATGCATAATGTAAGAAAAATGTAGAAAATCAAATTTCTTAACTTACATTGACATGTCAAGAGAGGTTGGTGATTGATTGTCCTAAAAAACACTCCAAACAAAAAGGAGCTCAATTGACTTCAAAAACCATTTCTTCATACGCGCTAGGATTGTATTCAGTTGGAAGGGCAAAACTTAATGAAACAACAACATGATCGTACTTAATATCTGGTTCACACACAACATATCCAACCCAATACCAATAAGTGAGTTCAAATCCCTCGTGTTACAAATCCAACTAAACTTCACTGAGTGTTAGGCACACTTGATTTTCATGCTGCACACAACAACATCAAAAACTTATCTTCTGAAAGATACACGAGCAACTGCAACGTCACTTGTATAAATTTCTCTACGCAATTCAACAACTTATCAGTGAACCATTCTCTTCAAGAACACGATCTATTATACATTCATGCTCTCAAATTTTTAATATTCCTTGGGAGCCAACATGTAAAGACATTGGAATTAAGCAGTATGCATGTACATCTTTCTAATTATATTACTAATTAAAAATAATTTTTTTGGGGGTTGATGAGCACTCAAATCTGACAATTTAGTATCTTATTCATTTAATTTCCAACCAATGCAGTACTTATTAGACCATAAATACGATAAATTGAACTCGATTAAGGCAATATTTTTATACTTGCATCAATATGAATTCATGGTCAATAATGTTTGACTTGAAATTAGATTAGAAAATACAAATGATAATGTAGTACTTGGCTTGTCATTAATAGTCCCATTAAGGCGTAGCAACACACTAGTTGGGACATTATTTTAATTATAAAATTCTTTTTTTCTTCTAATTTTTGTAATAATTAAACATATACTTATTAAATTTATATATATTACAATTGTTTGTACATCACATGTGCGTTTGTCGCAGGGATAAGATGCCAGAGTGGATTAAATACAAAAAATATTAGATTAAATTAAAGTGCTGATAATGTGTTTTAAATTAAATTTTACTTGAAAATTAATCTCAAAGAAATTAGTATAAGAATTTATAATAAAATTTTAAAATTATAATAAATATTTAATGATTAAAAAGTATAATTTTTTCTTAATTAATATTGATACGGTACAGACGGATTTTTCTGGCACGAATCTCGAGGTAATATTTCGAGCAAGAAATATTTAAATATTGATAAAAAGTCATCCAGAGCTATGATTTCAGTAAACTTATAGTCAAACTGACTGACTCGATGAGACGGACCTAATAATATTAAAGTTAGTTTAATCCGAGTCAAATCAAGCCCAGATCTAGTGATTAAATCAATCTTGAAAGATTTTCGGACTCATTTGAAATATTAAACGAATGTCGAATTCAGCGAGTTCATTTTCGAATCGGCCTTCTCGACAAGACGAATCCAACGAGATCAAGATTGCTCAATTCTGACATCCTTAAGACACTCAAATGTCTATCAAACGTCATCCGATCGATGGAAGCTCCCCGGACCGCCCGATAAAAATGGTTCATATTTCTGCATTAATTGCACTAAAAACACTATAAATAGACCACCACCGACCGTGGCTGGAGAGAAAACTTGAGAGTTTGAGATAGAGTTTAAGTCTAACATTATCTATGTCATCGTTAACATTCGTCGACCACGACCGACCGTCATCGACCACCGCCGACCTCTGTCGATCATCGTCGGCCACCGTCGACCATCGCTGACCTCCGTGGATCGTGCTCGACTGCCGTCGACCATCGCTGATCTTCGTCGACCACCGCTGACTAGACGTCGTCAGTCGGAGATATAACTTGGAAAGCTATTGATCCTTTCCCGTTTGTGGGACAAGGGTCTATGTAATCATCAATCAATAGTGGATTTTCGCAATTGGGCAATGCCCCATGATTTTTTCTTTTTATGGGTTTTCCAGGTAAAAAATTTTAAAGTCATCAGTGATTGTTTCTCTTTCATCTATGTGTGTGTGTTACCAGGTAAAAAATTTTAAAGTCATCAGTGATTGTTTTTCTTTCATCTATGTGTGTGTGTTAAATCCTCGTACAACGCTAAGACGATAATCTGTTATTCTACCGCCGCAGATTTTCCAGCACGCATCAAATACATTTCGAGTTAGAACTTTCTTTTAAGATGACTTTTATTTTCTAATATTATTTTAGGATTTTTGAAATATTACATTCCGAATGATTGTTTTTTTATGTTATTTTGCTAAAACCTTTTTCTTTTAAAAAAAATCAAGTAATAAATAAATAATTCTTAAATATTTTCATAAAATAAATACTGTTTTAACCGGTTGATTTTTCCATCATAAATTACTAAGGGCCGCCCAATAAAAGCATTGGCCCATTTATTAAATCATTTTTTTAATGCGACTATCTATTATTTAAAAATATTAATAAACCTTTTTATTTTTATCATTTAAGAAAAAAGCCTCATAAAATGTTATTTAAATTATATTATTATTATTAAGTGCATTTTACATACATACCACACAATTCCAAAGTATTTATATATCTATGATCAACTTTTTTTCTATTCACATGCAAATCTTTAAGATATAAAAAATATCATTATTATTTTTATTATTTAAAAAATAAAATAATTTTGGGATACTAAAATATTATAAATATCAAATATAAAAACTAAAATAGAAAAATTTAATGCTTTTTTATTGTTTTTATTATTAGGGGCATTTACAAACATACCACCCAACTAACACCTAGACATTCATATTTACATGTATACCACTCAAATTATGAAAAATACCACCTATGAATAGGGCTGTCAAAAGGGCTCGTTGTTCCCGAATAGCTCGTGTTCGACTCGCTAAGAAACTCGTGTTTGGCTCGTTCACTAGGTTAATGAGCCAAGCACGAACAACACGAAGAAAGGTTTGTTCGTTTGTGTTCGGCTCGTTTTGGCTCGAAATACTATTAATCAATTATAATCACTAATAAGTATTATATATATATATATATATATATATTTGATGAGTAATATTTTTAAAAACCTAGTAGTATTTTAAAAAAATAAATTGACTATAAGGCTATAAAGATTTATAATTAATTAAAAGTATTAATTAAAAAAATATAATTAAAATTATTAAATTAGATTCAAACGATGTTTTAATATAAATAATAATTTTAAATATTGCCCTAATCCTTAACATCTTATGGCTACCTGATTAAGGTTGTCAAAACGACTCTTTGTTCGTAAACGACTTGTGTTCGGCTCGCTAAGCAAACGAACACGAACAAATTTTTTAAGCTCGAAATACAAACGAGCCGAACACGAACAGAGCCTAGGTCTGCCCCTGTTCGGCTCGTTTACACCCCTACCGATGAAGGTGTTCTATATAAATAACAAATTTTGAGTATTAGACATAAAAATATATAAAAATTGTATGGTAAATATGTAAATTTCCATAATTATTATTATTATTTTGGAAGGTAGCGTTACTCAAAATATTCACATACGTTTCAAAAAGGGCCCACCACGCAGCACAAATGGACCCCGCCCGCATGCCTGCACGCCACCGCCGATCCCAATTCCCAAACCCTCTCTAACTAATTAAATTAAACAATTAAAAAACAACATAAAATACACAAAAGCAAGTGACGCTGTGGGATTCTCAGCTACATCAGCAAGCCCTCAGCTTCGGCTCTCTCCACGTTCCCTCCCATTTACAAATTATGCAAAAAAATAATTGCATAAATCTCCAAAGGTTTTTTATGTAAATTCGTTAAAAATTTAATTAAATTGGAAATGCTACAGAAAATAGCTTTAAAGAAATGGTTTTTACAGATTAAAAATGTACAATAGTAAATAATAAGAGCATGAGATTTACAGAAAGAACCGAGTGATAAACTCAAATTATGAATTCCACCTGCATGAGAGACGGAAGAAGATCAATGGGAAGGAACACAGATACAAAGTTTACATTTTTGGTAGATATGTAAATATTTATATATAAATATGTTTAAAGAGTCTGCAGAGAAAAGAAAAAAAGAGGAGAAAAAAAAAATAGCCTTCTTGCATGCTTCACAATCCTCTAATTTACAAGGGCTGAATTCATTTACTCTTTTTGCAAACTTCATTATTCCCAATAACCCTTATGTTGGTGGCCTGAAAAGGATCCTTATTCCCACAACAAATAGAAATGAAGAAAAAGAACATCTATGGCGATTCAAAGGACTTAATTTGGAGAGCAACGTGGATGGAAAGGTTTGAATTTGAGAAAGAGATGGAGAAGAAATACGAAAATGTGGATTTGTAGAAGGAAAAGATTGAATTTTGAGATGGATAATGGATGAATCGATTGATCTTATTACTGAACCATGGCGAGGAAAGAACCTGCAGACGGCGCGGCCGATGTTGTCGGCACTTTTCCGGTTGAATTTCCGCTGCGAGCACTGGCTGCACCTGCTCCGACAGCTTGCCGTTGGAATTGTATCTCATACCTCAGCTTACCGTCTTCCTCGTCGTCATCTTCATCTTCATCTTCGTTATCTTCATCTTCATCTTCGTATTCATGGTTGATAGTGTCGCTGTCTACGGTCTCTCCGCCGCCTAGCTTGTCAAACTCGTTTGCAACTCGGTGTGGTAGATTCTGCTGTCCCATCAGTTCTCTAACGATGTCTTCTGGCTTCATTGCAGAAGAAAAAAAAAAGTATGAATCAAACAATATTTTATGATCAGAAACAGAAATGCTGATCGATAGTTTGAAAAATAGTTACCTTTTTCATGGCGGTAGAGCTGCCCCTGTTTGGGGCTCCTCCAAAGAAAATTTGAGGAGAATGCCGGTGCCATTGCTTCTTGCTATCTGAATGCCGCTACTCTCATGATTTCCCCCATCACTGTTTCTCAGTGTGTTTGGGGTTTTCTGAACTTTATTGCTCTCCTTCTCCGGTAGAACACTTAACTGCACTTGAGTTTGAAGAGATTCCCCAATCTTTTGATTAATGGCTAGCTCCTGCTGCTGCTGCGCCGCAATTCCAGAAGGGACTGCTGCGGCGCCACCAAAGAGCTGTTTTTTACGGTAAAGCGCGTCGAGCTCGTGAAAATAAGGGCATGTTTTGGCGTCCTCTGGTCGCTTTTTGTTGCTCTCCTTCACCTTTTTGAAATACTTGTTAATGTTCTCCCACTTCTCCTTGCATCTCTTTGAATTCCTGTTATAGCCAAGCCGCTTCATTCCCAGCGAAATCTCCTCCCAAAGTGGCCCCTTTGGCCCTGATTCAAGATACCTCGATTCCAGCCCGCTGCGCAGCTTGATTAATGCGAGAACCTCCATTTTCGGCCACCTTGATGACGAAGAAGACGGTGAGATTGCGTCCAAACTTGATCCGACACCCATTCCATCAGCCATCTCGGACATCGCAGCCGCCGGTTCTGAAGAAGATGTAGCCTGGTTAAGCAGAAGATCGTTTCTTTCAATCGGCAGGTTATCGCTTGCTTCATTTTGCATTGCCGGTGCTTGGACAGCAGGTGCAAGAGCGGGTTTCGGTTGCTCCACCGGAGAAGTGGGTGGCGGCGGAGCTGATTCTTCCGGTGGAGTGGCGGCAGAGATGGGAGGTTGGATTCCGGTGAACTTCTGTAGGAAGGAAATGATAGCCGCGTCTCTGTTAGCAGCCATGGTGCGTTCTTGAGCCATGAGTTCGTACTCACGATTGAGCCTTGCCATCTCCTGCCTCTTCCAAGCTTCTTCTCGGATCATTCTGTCCTGTTCACGCTTCTCAATAGTTTCTAAGAACCTCTGTTGCATCGCCTCCTGGCGCTCCATAACTTGCTTCATCAATCCATCAAAGAAAGCTATCATTTTTCGGCTGCCCCCAGGCCACTCCTCCCGTTTCCTCTTCCTACCGCCATCATGGAGCGCGCCGAGCCCGCCTTCCTCCGTATTCTCGCCATCGGATTCCGACGCGGAGGAGGATGAAGTGTTGGAAGAGAAGCTGATTCCTACAACAGCGGCGGGAGTGGATATCTCCAGAAGGGGCATAGATGGTGGAGCTGGTGCGGCAACTGGTGGTGGTTGAGATCTGGTAACCGGGGGCGGCGGTGTCATTGTGCTGTCGGAAGGGATGGGGAAAGAAGAGGATGGTGTTTTATGCTGCGAGGCAGCAGAACCGGCAGCTGAAGTGAGGTTTGGGATAAATGTGGTGTTTGTAGGAGAGGGGAATGAGTTTACAGACGTGGTGCCACCAGTGCTGCCATGGAGGGCTTCAAGCTGTGTGAAAAAACGGTAACTTTTGCCGTCCTGACGGCCGGCTCGACCTTCCTTTGTTCGTTTATAGTACTTGTGAACATTTTCGAATTTCTCCTTGCATTTCTTCGCGCTTCTTGAGTAACCTAACTCCGCCAGCTTCCTGAAAACAAAAAAAAAAAAAGCTCCTAATTATAGTATTAGAAACAGTGGGAGAAGAAGATAAAAAGTTGAGTTTTGAGATGTAATAGGGACGAACAAGGAGGAATAAGAAAAAAATTAAGAGAAAAGAAAATTCAGGAAGTAAAACGACCTCCACACAATCAGCATCTTATCAGCTTCAATTATTATATATATAATATATATATAATGCAAAAGAGAGAAAGATGAAGAAGGATGGGACGGAGATAATCAGAGGGTGAATGATTGGAATCATAAAAATGGGATTTTTATGAAATGTAAAGAACCGATTTTTATTTCGAAAACTGGGTCAGATCGGGATTGCTGCTGCTAAAATTTGTATCTTTCGTCTCGATCTATCAATCTAGAGAGAGAAATCGTTTTCTCTTCTCCATTCCCGATAAATTTAACAAACAAAAGAAACAGTAGTCAGAATCAGCTGTACGAAAGCCATCAAACATCGTTTCCTAAGAGCTGCAACTAGAAGAAACCGTTAAGCCTCTAAACTGTAGTCTCAATTATATCATTTCTGTTCACATTAATTTCGCTTTGAAAACGAGGAAATAGATCTCGAGAAACTGGTGAACGGACTTCTAGAGAGAGAAAAAAAAACAGATTTTGCCTGAATTAAGCTCGACTGTGAAGAATTGAATGGCGGATAAATTATAACCTGGAGACATCTTCCCATAAAGGGCCCTTGAGAGTGGCGTCCCTAAAAACAGCATCCATGTCCGACCGGATCTTGAGCAGAGCAAGAGCCTCCTGTCGCGGCCACCTATTCCCGCCTCCGCCGCCTCTCTCCGACTCCTCGCCGGCTCCCAGCGCCTCCTCGTCTGCAAAATTTCTAACCATAGCTCCCCCGCCGGAGCCATACTCCTCAAAAATCGTAACTTGCTGGCGCGGCTGCGGCGGCGCAGGGCGGCTGTTGATCGGCGAAGCATCCTCAGCAACCTGCTGCGACGACTGCTGCAGATATTCTACGCCGGTGGGAATTCCGATCATGGGGGAGGTGAATGGCGGCACCATTTCCGGCGGAGGAACCCCATACTGGGACCCCCCTTGCTGCTGCATGCGTTCGGAATATTAGCCCCTCGAAATTCCCGCACTGCTTCCTCTGCTACTAATCTGGGAGTGATGGTTGAAGAAGAAAGTGAAAGTGAAAGTTTCAGAGAGGAAGATTGATTGGAGGAGATTGAAAATGGAAAAGGAGATGAGTACTGGAGGAGGGTGAAAAAGATGGAAGCTTGGACAACTGGAAAGGGTGAGTGAAGGGGGAGAGAGAGAGAGAGAGAGAGAGAGAGAGAGAGAGGGAGGGAGAGGGAAAGGAGCAGTCCTTAAAAGTGAGAGCTGGCAGAAATAACATAAAAAATTAACAGTACGATTGATAAATCAGGGGAGGGGGAGAATAATAAAGGTGGGAGATGAGAGCCGGAGCTGAGGAGGAAATTGTTAGGGGAGGTTCCTAAAACAGGAGGGATTTGAAAAGAAAGAAGAAGGCATTAGAGGGGACTTGTAGAGAGAGAGAGAAGAGGAGAAGGAGACAGAACACTGATGATAATGAGGATGATGATGTGAGAGAGAGAGAAAGGAAAATTATTTAAATAAAAAATGCAGATTGCTAAGCCATGCCGCATAATAATTGACTAAGTAGTTAAAACTAGTTACAGTGTTTTAAGTGTAAATTCTGCCTAAACTAATATTAATTGACTAAAAAGTTCATTAATTTATTATTATTGTTGTTTTAAAATGTGGTTCCTTCTGTAAAAATGTAATTTTTTTCTGCAAATATAATTATAGTAAATTTTTCCTTAACAAGTGTATGATTGCATATTAATGTATTTATGATTACAAAATCATATTATTTACTATTCTCTTGTGCATTAAATCATTATTAAAATTAAATCTATTAACCCTCTTTCCTAGCTTAATGAATATGTTTTTTAACATTTTGTAATGTGAGAATTTCTTTATACATAAATACATTAATTTAAAATATTTTTTGTTAGATATAAATAGTAATGCTATAATTTTTTAAGTATATTTAAATTAATCTATAATTATTAATAATTTAATCTCCATTAGATTTGAGCTTACCTTATTTCACATTCAATTGGGAGGAGGTTCACTTCTATTTATCACCTCATCAATTTTTATCAAAACTTAATTGAATTAAAAAATAATCAACCTTTTAAAAATTATTTACAACTAAACCAAATGTTTATTAGCTCTTCCTGGCTATGTTACTCTTAAAAGTAATTATATTATGCATTTATTCGTGACAAAGTAGTTAAGGATTTAGTTTCATATCATGAGGTCGCTGGTTCGCATCGTGCATATTAATCATTTAGACTCAGCTTTCTCCAAAACAAATAAGTAATTGCATCATATCATATTCCTTGTGAATAAGAGTTCATAATTTCACTTTTAGAAATTCAAAATAATGATATTTTTACGTGATGTCAAAGATTTGTGCGGTAGAAATGTAAAAAAGTAAAATTTAGATGTTAGATATGTAAATACAAAAGAGTTAGGGGAAATGCATGTAAATGCTACTAAATTAATCCTTAATTAAAAAACATTACACAGCATCCACCGAACACCATGAAAACAAAGTAAGAAACCTTAAATTATGAGGGTTAGAGTTAAAATTTGCAATTAACTATTAAGCAAATTAGGAGGAGGAAAAGCAGATGATTAAGAGGGAGATGGGAGACCGCTGTAACAGCTATAAAAAAAATGGGCCCCACCAATTAGGGCAAATATATTGGACGATGTGCCCTGCGATTATCGCGGATCCCACACGAACCCAGCCGCTATCCATCAGTACCAAAATATTGTACACAAAATTACAGTTAATTGTAAATCTTGCTCGAACATTATAACCCGTCAATTTTACTCAGATACAGTCTTAAAGAATATCCGATGGGTTAATTCTATCGTTTTATAACATTTTTTCTCTACACTATCGCATAATATTTTGCTCTCAATGACAAAAAAATTATTCGCAATACACCAATTGACGGGAAGCAAGAAAATCTCACCAATCGCGTCCGCAGTACAGACGCAGCCGGTGTCCAGACTTCGAACACAATAATTTCTCCTCAATCACTGACCTCCCTCCCAAGTAAAATAAGGAAATTTGTTGAACCAAACTTTTCTTCCACCAATACGCACCATGAGCCACGTGGCACTCTAACCATGCCAAATCACCATTATAATATGATAATTATTTTATCATAATAAATTTGTGACAGTTTTTATTTATTTATTTAATAAAATAATTATTAATTAAAAATGCGTTGGGTTAGGCTATGCGTGCGACGGGACATAATAATATGAACATGATAACCACGGTGGTGGGCCATAGTTGATGGGAATCTTCTTTACACGTGTCACATTATCAATTTATTAACAAAAAATCCAGCTACATACACAGCCACACTCAAGGCAACAGGCCGGTGCTTTTCATCTTTCTTCAATGGTTCGGTGAGAGATTTTATGAGTTATTAAAGTGGGGCCCACCCACTCCCCTCTGCTGTTCATATACTAATCAAACTAGGGAAATCGGACCACACATCAAAATAATATATATATATATATGTATATATGCAATAAAATTTATATGTGAATCTAAATTACATTTTAAAAATTAAGAGTGTAAATGAGTTGAGTCAAGTCTGAATTAACTTGATTATTATCAAGAAAAAATAATTTAACTTTGTGACATAGTAAAATAACAAATAGAATAAATATTAATAGTAAGATATTGTCTGTTATGTGTAGGTTAACGATCTGATTTAAATTTGAGTTCATATCAGCTTATAATCGACTCGAAAAAAAATTTGATCAAAAAATTTGACTCGTGGCTCGTCTCATTTATTTTGATCCGAACTCGATTCGAGCCAAAATTCGAATCAGTTTCAGAGAAATTACTGACCTTCAAGCTAAATTCACAGACCTAATTATGTGTGTGCAAAAATGAAAATTTAGTGTGAGATATTTAACTACATCAATTGTCTGTTTTGGGCAGCTGCAACTTATTGAATAATCTGCTAATAAGTTGATTAAAAATAATCTGATTATAATCTAAGTATGATGGCTATTACAATTTTAAAAAAAAAAATTCAGACCAATGCTGGAAATTTACCACCGCACTTATTTGTGTGAAAACACATAAACTGTCAAAAGTTTACCCAAATAAGTCAGGTGCGTTTTCAAAACGCCACCGCACCAAATAAGCTGCCCCAAACGGACCCTAAGAGTTATGTGCTCCATCTATATATGACCCCTTCTCAATAAATAAAATACACTCTATTTTAAGGAAGACTTACGTAAATACCTCTCAATTTATATGTATTTACATATCTAACACTTGAACCTCATTTTTTTATAATATTAAAAGTTAAAATGATGTAATTTTAATGTGATATGAAATATTTGCGTGCTATAAATATAACAAATAAATTTAGGTGTTAGATACATAAATATGCATGAATCGTTTGGTACGTATTTAAATGTCCCTATATTAAAATTAAATACATTATCTATAACCTATTTAAAAATAATAATAATAATATATTCCATTTTATATAAAATGATATTTTATTACTTACCCTAAGGACCATCTCCCATATACATCACATAATTCATTTCCATTTACATATATCACCCCTAAACTTTTAATATTTACACATATGACCTTATATCTTTATTCTTTAATATCACATCAAAATAACATTATTATCATTTTTGTAAATGTAAAATACATTTTTTTGATGAATGGGTGTAACCAGGTTATGTCTAGAGTGGACAATTGCCCGCTCTAAAATTTAAATTTATATGTATAAGTAGTGATATTTAATAAAATTTTCTTGTATAGTTTAGAGAATTTATTAAGTTAGCCCCCTCTTAATATATTATTTTCCTAATAGTTGACAAAAAGTTGACCATTTGGTGATTTTGGCTGCCATAGAAAATAAGGCCGGTTTCGTTTCTTTTTTTATTCGTAGGATTAAGGGTCTGTTTGGGTGTTTGGGGTAGCTGCAGTTTATTAAGAAACGACTGTGAAACTGTTAAAGAATAGTTTAATGTTGTAAAAATATGTTGTGGCCATTATATATACTTTTTTTTTTTTTGAAAAATTCTGACTGCAGCTAGAAAACTGACACTGCACCTAGTTAGGATCGGCGAGAAAACAATGATTTCAACGGTAGCTTTCTTAAAAACCTGTCAAAACACAGTTTATCTAAACGAGCAAAATTGTGGTTCAGCGTTGCGCCGCCACCGTACTGCTGCCCCAAGCATACCCTAAAGCATCGAAGTGCTATGTACATAGATATGATACATAAGAATTGAGTGCTTCGTCAGTAAATTTCTCTATTTTTTTTTTACGAGTCGGCTTATGAGCTAATAGTTGAGTCTAAGTTGACTCGAACTTGTCATGTTAGCTCAATGAGCTTAGCTCACAAGCGACTTAGTGAGCTCAATTTGAGTTAGCGTACCAGTTAGCTTGGCTCAATTATAGTCTTAATATAAATCTTCATTGTTTGTCATTTATTTAGCTTTGTAGATTAGTTTATAAATTTAATTTTTATTTCTTGGTATTACAAATATGTAAATTTATTTTTAAGAAGATCATTTATGATTGTTATGCAAAAATTAAATAATTATATTTGAATAATTTTTAGTGAGGTCTGAATTTTAAAATTATTATTAGTTTTTAATTATATATAATAAAGTAATGAATTGAAAAAAAATTTATTATTTTTAATATGATTTCTAAATTTGAACATTCAAATGAGTCACTAGATGACTTTGAGATCAGCGTCAACACATTCAAATGAGTCACTAGATGAATTCAAATTGAGGACACATGATCTTCTGGCAAGCTGCCACTAGCCATCCCTCCTCGTTCTCTTCCCATATGGACCATCAGATCTCTTTAAGATCGGAGTCGACACATTTTTTATACATAATATGAAAACTTCGGTGCATGATAGGTAAATATAATAGAATTATTTTGTATGATGGAAATGCCCCTTATAAGTGAACTCATCTTGAAATAAATTAAATGAATGTAAACATCATTTCAATCAATTATCTCCAACATAGATGGCACAAATACTTGTTGTTATTTAACTATTAATCGGCAACCACCCACTACTTATCATAACAAATAATATAGAAGTAACCCTGTGAAGGTTCATAATGTAATTTTAAATTTTTATTATGATGTGCTGTGACATTAACAAAAAGTATCCTTCTTGACAAATGTGCCAAAGTTGAGTTTAATATATTTAGCCTTTGAAAATCAAAAGGCAACAACAAAAACCACAAATGAGGAAAGGTGAAGGCATCAATAATGACTTTCACCCTAAGGAGGTAACATATAAATCAGCACAAAGTTAAACCAAAGGGATACTAACATGGCTTTAGCTTTCACCCTATGGAGTGTAATGTAAATAATTTCAATTTACATAGTCATATACTTGTTTTTGAGAATTTGTTTAGCATTTTAAACTTATTAATTTATTATTATTATTAT